ATATATATATTATATATATATATATTTATATTGTCAAACAAATCATCAAAGTTGTGTTTGCTCCTACTCACCCAAGGGGGTGTCAACATAGATGCGGATCCCATCCACCAGGGGGGGGGGCACACTATACTATGCCTCTACAAGTTTGCAGTGGAGCCACAGGAATTCATCTGAGGAGGTCTCGGTCTGTTAAAATTCTCCTTATGGTGTTATATAAAAATCGCCTCCAGCTCATACTGCCATAGGTACTAGAGGAAAATGTATACAATATTTACTCAGTGGTTCCATAGATGACCGCATCCTTGCCCTTCAATAGCACCAATCTCAATACATAGCATCTGTAAAGCCCAGATCTAGATCTTTCTAATCTTTGATGCATAGGATATACCCCCGTGTTTGGCTTAAATATCTCCAAATTCTCTAACTACTAAGTAAACCACTCACCACCTCAGGCATTATTGACCCATACAACACACACCCCTGATCACCATCTTAGCAGTGTCCTCCCATCTGTATCACATAAAGGTTTGTGCACCACAATTCTATCCCTCCAAGTGACCGCAAATACCCTTCCCACACCTCCTTCCCTTCCCTTAGGATCCATTGCATATAGCAGAGATACTGGGGAATCTTGGCTCTCTATACCATAAGCTATTAGGTGCCAAGTATATCCACACTACCATAACCAAAGCCCCTCACATTACCCCACTAAGTGGACATCCTTGGACTCACCATTCTGTGCAGATAGTCTGTCGCCATACATTAGATCCAGCAGCAGTCCTCTTACTGCTGGATCTACCACCTCCCTCCTTTTAAATCCCCACCACCCTGCTTCATCTAATCACGCACATAGCGCATGTGCACGCTGTTCAGTTCCAACCAGTGAGCATCCAAGCAACCAGATACACTTAAAATTGGATCCCATCTCCTACCTGCTTACTTCCCATCCATTTCTATCGAGACTCCCCAGTATCTCTGCTATATGCAATAGTGTGCCTCCCCCTCTGCTGGATTGGATCTGCGCCTATCTTGACACGCCTTTTGGTGAGTAGAAGCACACACAACTCAATTTTTTTTAATCTTTATTGATTTTTTTCCACAAAATAATAATATACTAATATATACTGTATATAATAGATGTAATTGAAGATGAGATAGTCTAGTAATTATGTGTTTAGTTTATATTAGATAAATTGTTCCCCTGAGGAAGCACACCAGCAAAACTCATTGGGAGAATAGACGCATGCCATAATTGAAATATGATTGTGAAGACACACACGTATTAACTGAGAGGAAATATTGGACGATATTGGTCAATCGGTATTCATAGTGCTACCAGATCGTGGCAGGAGGCATATTGTAAGGAGGGGACAAAAATGAATGTGTTTTTATTCCTATATTTATTGCATGTCAAAATGAATTTTTATTGGGAAAAAAAATATATGTTGTAATCCATAAATTAATACTGATTTTAAACAAATACAATAGGTTGTGCCTCTTAAAACCCCAGATGAATTGTTTTTGGTGTTTTCCTAATGATATAAAACAAGAAAGGTATTTGGAATTTTTCAGCATTGGATTGGTAAACCTATAAATCAGATAATATTTATTTGATGTAATACCTAAATGTGACAAAAAACATTGTTTAGCACAACTCTTAAAATATGTAAACTCTGCTCACATTCACCTGAAACAGCCCATGACCCAAACTTAAGCTGCCCATGCACCTTACAACCATCGTACGACCTGCCCATCTTGGACATGCAGATCGTACTTGCGATCATCGCAAGCCCTCCCCGTTGAGGGGAGGGCTTACAGATGATTGCAATGGTGGTGCAATGGTGAGCGGGCAGTGTGCGCTTGCGCACCTTGGCCTGTGCGGCTTTCGTCTTGCAATCGCGCTACCAACCCGCCGAAACTCGTACGATTTTAGGCGGGTTTTTCTAGCATGCTCGGAAGACGAAAGTCGTGCAACCGTACAGTACATGCGGTCGCACGCTGCCCATACACCTTACGATTACGTACGATTACCGTACGATCGCGGGATCACCTGCGATTATCATACGATAATCGTCAGGTGTATGGGCAACTTAAAGGTGCCCATACACTTTACAACCATCGCAAGACCTTAGTCTTGCGATGGTTGTAAAGTAATTAAAAAAAGTACGATCTGCCCATCTTGGACAGGCAGATCGTACTCTCCATCATCGCAACGCTGAACGGGCAGTGTGCGCACACCGGCCCGTTCGGCATTTGTCTCCCGAGCACCGTTCAAACCAGCCGAAAATCGTACGATTTTTCGGCTGGTTTTCTAGCGTGCTCCCTAGACAAAAGACGTGCGACCGTACAGTAAAAACGGTTGCACGTCTTCCATACACTTTGCGATTATCGTATGATCGCTGGATTTCCCGCGATTATCGTGCGATAATCGCACAGTGTATGGGCACCTTTAGAGAGATATCCCCTCACTTCGTAATCCAGTGGCAGCTGTTTCACCAGACAGGAAGTGAGTGAAAACTCTTCCTATATTCAAAACTATAAAGCAAAATTTTTAGTGACAAAATTTCTCCCAAACTCATATTTGGTCACAAGAACAGGAAGGATGGAGAAAGGGGTAAAGCTATCGTTTTTCTTTGAAGTAAAAAAGGTTTTGTGGCAACAGCACCATCAATATAAGTTTACCTCTAATGAAAAATGTCCTGTGTCATGCTGGCTGCTGGTTACTTTAAAACACATCCCTTCAGTGACTCTGTATGCTTCCCAGAGCTTGGATGCAGGGATGAGAGATCCAGCTGCGACTGTGAAGGGATCGCACTATTCGCTTTCCTTTACCCTCGCCCATTCACAAAACAAAACTATTATTTTCCCATAATGCAGTGTTCTGTGAATGGGCTAGGGTGATTCTGCCATTAATCTGCCCCTTGCCCATTCATAAAATTATATTTTAGTAATCCAGGAATGATCAGTGTTAATATGATGCCTCTGGCAAACACTCAAAGCAACAGCTCCATTTAGTAGGCCACTTCAGCTCAGATTGATCAAATCTTAGCAGCCTATAAAGTTCTGACACAAACATGGTGTCTCCAATCAATAAATCCAGAATCTTACACTTACATAGCAATAGCTTAGACAAATTAGCTTTTTTTTTTAAACACAACATGCACGATCAATGCATCAGAACTTAAGGGGGGTGGCGAGGTAACTTTAAAACACAAATGAATGCAGCTCTGTATTCATTAATAAATCCTTGTATGGTTTTTGTTTATTAAAAAGAAAACTAGTGGAAGTATCTAAATTTGACTTGGTATCACTATCAGCCTTTTTCCATCCCCTATATAGCAGTGCTTATGCTCAGATAGGAATGGGCAGGACTAGGATCAGGTGTGCTACAAATGTGTTGGAAAATGAGCAAGCTGATATGAGGATTGAGCAGAGGGATGACCTAATCAGCCTGCTGGTGCTCTTTATCCAGGCAGCAGGCCATGGGTGGAAAGCGGACATTACTCTATTCCTTAACTGTAAGTGGGGTCATCCACCTGGCTGTGTCAGGGGGCTGTGAAAATCTCAGGACTGGATAGACACAAATATTAATCCTTTGTGTCCTATCTGTGTATTTAGTTTTTGCCTGCAGTTCAGCTTTAAAGTCGAACTATAATCAAACCAGTCCTGTGCCCCCTGGGGGTGGCGTCCCAGGAGTGCTCAGGAAATCACTAAGGTGTGGGACCTCACATGTGATTCACTGTGCACATGGACACGGCACCTATTGCATTTTCTGCACAACACCTCTTAGACAGGCCTTATGGCTAGTCTGGGGCAATATTTTTGCACTACGGCCCCTAAGGCCTGTCAGCGTGGTGCACTGGCACTTTAGATTTATTTATGCACTACATGCACGATTGGCACTTTTTTATTTTCCTATTTTGACCCACAAAATAGGGTCATCGAGCCTTTTCCCGATGTGGGGAGGAGATTCTGTGCCCTTATATAGGGTTCGCTGTCTCCTCCCACCCAGGGGCTCTCTCTTCGGGAGAGCCCCCTACCCAGTACTATGTGGGACCTGCTTCGGCAGGTGCCCAAAGGATCGGGGTCCAATCCCAGACTATATGATTTATATTAGCTTTGTGAGGGGGCTGTGTATTTTATTGCAATGTAGACAATATTTAGGACATTCACGAAGATTGTATTTGTGTTGGTTGGGTTTCAGTTCTCGGAGTTAAAGCCCATCTATGTACATTTTTATAGGCTGCTTTTCTAGATCTGATTACTTATATTATTATTAATTGGTGTTATGCATGTCAAAACAGGAGAGGGGGCATATCCTGGTATCATCGATATGTTTGGTGGAGGAGGTGGCCTTGCCGAATACCGAGCTAGTCTTCTTGCCAGTCGTGGGTTTGTGGTTTTTGCTCTGGCTTATTTTGGTTATGAGGATCTTCCACGTTCATTCCAAAAACTAGAATTAGAATATTTTGAAGAAGCCACAGATCTGCTTCTGAAACATCCAAAGGTATTGTGACTCTTCTTATCATACCTGTAAATAAGTGTGCCTAATTCTGCTCAGTTAAAATTGGAGCTTTACCTAGATGAACATGGGTCTTTTACTAGTCTTTATAAGGTGTAACACTTTTTTTGTTTGGATAGAGAAGGGAAGAGTTACAACTTCTGTCAGGTTATATTTCTGTATGTGTCCTATTGGGGAGAATACCCTTCACTTCCTGTGCCACATATGCAACAGGATAGCAATAAAAATGTGCCAGGGGCTTCAGTATTCACAGTCTGTACAGTGTAAAGAACCATTTAGGCTTTAGTTATACTGTGCAGGAAATGAACAAATTAATATTGGGGTAAAAGTAATGACTGCATATCTGCACTTATAAAGTACAAATAAACACTTATCTGTAATTGCAAAACTAAATAAACCTGCTCAGTCATGTACACACAACTCTTGTGACTTGGTCATGGTGGATTGATGCTCTTATTGTACTGCAGATGATGAATATCTGCAGTACAATAAGGACATCAATCCATCTGCAGTACAATATGAGCTGCAGATGGTGAATATCTGCGACATAGCACTGACTTTGTACTCAAACTGTCAATTTACATAAATCAAGATTATATATAAAATATGATGGTAAGAATAATGCAAATGTAATATTTAAAGCTAGCTTTGGTTTAAATACAATCAAATACAACATATAAAACTATCATTTGTTTTCCATGTTGTCGACTGTGAGTGACTAAACATTTTTACTTTTCAGGTTGCTGGACCTCAACTCGGAGTTCTCGGAGTCTCAAAAGGTGCAGAAATTGCCCTTTTGCTGGCTTCATACCTACCAAAAATTGGCGCTACTGTCAGTATTAACGGTACTTCTAATGTATATGGTAGCACAATTTACCATAAAGGTAAGGTTATCATTGATGGAACACCCTACAAACAAGAGAAGATGGTGATCACTAAGGAAGGATTTATGAGCACTATTGGTTTGTACGAGCCACGTGCTGATTCACTTATCCTTGTAGAAAGAGCTGCTGGAGAAATACTTTTCTTAGCTGGCGGTGCTGATCAATATTACAATAGTCAAAAGTTTGCTCTATTCCCTTTCTATAGATTGAAGAGAAATGCTAAAACCAAAAGCAAGATGATAACATATCCAGGTGCTGGCCATCTGATTGAACCCCCTGGATTCCCTTTTGCCTATGCCTCACATCTCCGTGGACAAAACATGCCTCTGTTGTATGGAGGAGAGATGATCCCTCACTGCCAAGCAGAAGAATCGATTTGGAAAGAAATTCAAGCTTTTTTCCGGGAGCACCTGGGGCTTTCTAGTAATTTGTGACTTTTAGGTCAACAAGCATTTATCAGGCCTTTAATATGATGAGAGATTCTTTCTTGTAGTTGGTTCCAACATCAAACTACCATTGAGAGTGCTGGCCTAACACTATCAATGGTTAACTACTCTGGTTCCCGATCATGTGATCAGCTGTTACTGTAATGAGCAAGAAAACCGAGTTTTTATCAAGATAACCCATGCATACTGATGCTGCTGTAGTTGGACTTAGCATCTAGGTTTCAAAAACCCCTGGTCCCAAAACGGTTAAAGAGAACATGCAATTACAGAAATGGCAGGGCTGCCATTGCTAACCTTCTTTTGAAAATGCTGGTTTACAAGTAAGTAATACTGACCTGGAAGAAGTACAAGACATGTAAAGTCATTACTCCTCATCTGCCTACTTATTCTGGATAAGTGACTCAGACAACCAATAGTTCAATATCAGAAAATCTTTAAAGAAGAACTCCAAGAAATGTAAAAATGAACCCTTGTAGTGGGGCTACCCCAGCACTGCAAGGGTTAACTGCTCATTTTGGTCTAGTGGCTAAAAAAAAAAAAAAATACTCACCTGATCCTTCAGTCCTGTGCTGGTGAGCATTCGCCACTCTCCCCCTCCACTCTGGTGGTCAAATGTGGCTCAGCGCCTTCTTGTCTAATGCAGCAGCATTAGAAGTGATCATGTTAGACCGCTGGAGCCCGCTGGAGCCCGGGGCAGAAGAGGCTGAGGGTCCGGTTTAGCAGCCAAGTGGGACAGAGGATCGGGTGAGAATTATATATGTACTTTAACCCCTAGATCAATATGAGCACGTAACCCTTCCAGTGCGGGGGTAATGCAACTGCAAGGGTTAATTTTTACATTTTCATTTTCTTTAATTTCAGAAGACCAGCAATGGCAGCTGCCATATTTATCCTACCACAAGCTTTAAGCAGGCTTCATGTGGTCTTGAAGAAAAGTCTTGTGAAAGCTTGTATAAAACTACAGCTAGTACTCCAATTATGATGTGTATTTAGCACTCCCATAATAAATAGCTTTAGTGCTTCAAGGAAGCTGCTCAAAGTTAGTTAAATGCTTTCTGCAACTATTCCTCTTTAGATCTGACAAATAATTATTTGTTTCGGATCCATAATGTAACTGCTTCTCGTTTGGATGTTATGAAAATATGTGGGGAAGCACGGACACCGGTTTTTCGGTATTGAGTACCGATATTTTTTTTTCCGGTACTCATCGATGCTGAATACTGATAACAGTATCCCGAGGTCATGACCCGCCACCCAGCTTCCTGATTGGCCGGAAAGCCTGCTCCATGCTCCCTCGCGGCGCTGCCAGCTATGGTATCGTGGAAGGTATCGGAGCATTTAGGCGAGTATCGGTATCGGTGCATCCCTAACAATATACATAAGACACTAATTAACCATTTGCCGTCCGCTCGTTAAGAAAAAGCGGACGGACGGCGGACTCGCATCAGTAGGTTGCAGTCTCCAGACGGCATTTTTTTCCTGCTCGCGTGCGCCCCCTAGCGGCTTAACGGCTGTTTCACATACATGTGTGGCGCGATTTTGTCTCCCGCCAGACCCCCCCCCTCAAGTGCCGCTGCCCCCCCTCACCTTCAATCCCGGGATCCGCTGCCCCATCTGCGGCCCGGGAACGGCTCGGGAGGGCGTCAGGAGGAAGAGGGAGGGAGATCAGCTCCTTGCTGTCTCCCTCCGGGCTGTGAATACAGAAGTGATGTGCATTACATCACTACCGCATTCACCTGTCAGTCATCTGGCTGCTATAGCCAGAGAAAATAAGCTGATGAAGCAGATCTGTGCTTCATCAGCTTCTTTTGGGGTCCCCAGGTGACATTAGGGGTCCCGGAGACCCCTAAAGTCTCCATAAAGAGGGCTTGTCGGAGCTGCCCCTCCTGCAGGCCCTGGACTGGCATGTCATTCGCCGACAGGAAGCTGGGGGGGGAGATCCATTCATCGGTCTCCTCCCCGCACTATGGGACCGGGAGTGACGCTGATTACATCACTTCCGGATCCCATAGCTGTCATTGCTAAAGATTCCCAACTTTTTTTAGTAAATCAGATTCAATGTAAGCACACTTTAAGCAATGCATGACTTTAAAACACAAGGATAATGATTGTTAAAAAAACATTTCAGCAGAGTCCAGTGAGATTCAAATTTTACTGTCACATGGAGAATAAAAAATCATTTTCTGGTTATGCTTTGTGAAATAAACTTTCTTTTACAATGTATTTATTAAGCTTGTTTTTGAAGAGTATGGAGGCAAACATACGACTTTGTATGGTATACTGTACAATAAGACCATGAGTAGAACATCCCAACAACAGTGTCTACGGGAAACAAAACAATGTTAAAGGGCTGTGTACCAAAGAAAATGTTTAGTGTGTATGGAGTCAGGCACACAAATCACCTTGCAGGTGGGCTTTGGGGTCTGGACACCTATGCGGTCTTATAAAGTCTTATTATGTTAGGAGAGGCAGAAAACCTTTTCATTCCTTGCATTCTTCCATTGACTACAATCAAGAGTCCTCACTACATTGCTGCTTGAGCTGGTCTCTACATAGCAGCTATCCGGATCAACATTTCCTCATCATTAACTTTGTGGGCCCTACTCGTAAATTGGTTGACTGAATGTTGCAAAACAAGCCTGGAATGTGATCTTTGAGTACTGGGCTGTGAATTGTAGCTCTCTCCAGACCAGGGTGTACTGTGTTTCCAGGTCCAGAGCTGTGGCATGGCCCTGGGTGTTTCCCTATCTCTGCAAAACAGATGGGCTACCTCCAGGCATACATGGCCCTCTGTGTAGCCCTCAGGACAAGGCCCTCTGTGTAGTGTGGTCTTAAATGGCCCACATATTTTGCAAAAGTTGTGCAATTAAAACCTTTTAATGCAGGCTGTAAGCAGTGGCGACTCTAGGAACAATATATAGGGGGGCACATAAGATACCACAGTCAAAACTGGGGGGCACTAATAATTTTCACCACTAAATCATACCACTGAAAAAACCAAATAAGTATATATAAATAAAAGATTACAAATATCATGAGATGATGAAGCTGGCTTCCCGGCTAATCAGAAAGCCGGGTGCTGCGTCATTACACGGCGCACAGCTTCCTGATTGGCCAGTTCCCCGACCAATTTAGCAAGCCGGGCAGCGCGTCATTACATGCTGCCTGGTAGGGCTGCAGCTAATGATTATTTTCAGAATGGATTAGTTAGTCGATTATTAAGTTTGATTAATCAGTTAAAAGAGAAAAAAAAAGGCTCCAGTGATGGATTACTAGTTTGTATTGAGATTGTAGTCCATCACGGGAGCAAGCTTGGAGCGGTGGAAGTAAAAAAAAAGTGTGGTGTGCAATATAATACATTATACAGCGTCGCAATGCAGAATACCAGCAGCTATAGAGGAATACAGCAAATCGCAGCAATAGTACATTATACTATAAAATACGATTGCTGGGATTTGTAGTCCTCTGTAGCTGGTGCTATTCTGCATTGCGCTGTAGATAATGTATTATTGCTGGGATTTGTAGTCCTCTAACGCTGGTGGTATTCTGTAGTGCGCTGTATAATGATTATACGGCGCAATGCAGAATAACGCCAGCTACAGAGGAATACAACAAATGCCAGCAATAGTCCTTTATACTATAATGTACTATTGCTGGGATTTGTAGTCCCCTGTAACTGCTGGTATTCTGCATTGCGCTGTATATAATGTATTATTGCTGGGATCTGATGTATTCCTCTGTAGCTGGTGTTATACTCCATTGTGCTGTATAATGTATTATTGCTGGGATTTGTAGTCCTCTATAGCTGGTGCCATGCTACATTGCGCTGTATAATGATTATACGGTGCAATGCAGAATACCACTGACCGGTTATAGAGGAGCTACAAATCCCAGCAATAATACATTATACAGCGGCACAATGCAGAATACCACCAGCTATAGAGGAACAACAAATCCCAGCAATAATACATTAAACACCCTGTATCATGTATTATTGCTGGGATTTGTTGTTCCTCTATAGCTGCTGGTATTCTGCCAGGGCCGTCTTTAATACTGATTGGACCCTGGGCAAACAATTTCTTGGGCCCCCCTCCCGGCCCTGCCAGCAGCATACGGAAGAGGTGGAGCAACTCTATGTGATGCTGATCGCATAGTAAACATAATATTTTTAGAATAAACAAGATAGAGCGAGGTGAGACAGACAGGGGAGAGAGAGGGGAGAGACAGACAGGGGAGAGAGCGAGGAGAGACAGACAGGGGAGAGAGCGAGGAGAGACAGACAGGGGAGAGAGCGAGGAGAGACAGACAGGGGAGGGAGCGAGGAGAGGCAGACAGGGGAGAGAGCGAGGAGAGACAGACAGGGGA